CAGCCCTCTGTTAGGAAACCATTATGTGAGGACATTTCTAAATCAAATTTCCGTAAATTAATGTATTGCAGCCCTAGTTGCTGTCTGCATTGTGAAAATTACATGTTTATTTTCTTTTCAATAGGATGCCTATTTCTTCGAGTTCTGAGAATGAGTGTTTACCAAATTGAATACAATTCCTATGATTTTTAAGGTGTAATTTATCTTGCAGAAGCAAGACAAATTAATATCTGTAATATTTAATTTCATACACATATAATTGTTTTATTTTCATTTCAACCATTGCATGTAGTTTATCAGTCAGTACCAAAAGAAAATATATGAATTTGTAGTTACCAAGTTTATAATAGAACTTGCTTTTAAAATGGTTACAGTATTGGATGATGCTTCAACATAGGACATGATTTTAAAGAGCAATTGCATTTTTCTCTTCAGAGCATGTCAGCTACAACATTTTGAAATTGTTGGAATTTTTGGAGGTACAGTATAATGTACTTGGGGCTTGTTGCCCCTTATCTCATCTTTTTCTAGCACCTTGTTATAAAGATATCTCCTTCTGTGACCATGCTCTGTACTTGCTCCTATCTTGGGTTTCCCAGACTCTTCTGTGTTGAGATGTGAAGAAATCAGTAACTATTTTTCAGTGTTGTTTTCTTAACCTTGGTTTCTTTGCTTCTTGATGAAGCAGTGAACCTACTGATAATTTTCAAGGCTTCCTACTTCTAATGTTACTTTAAAAAATAATTATCTCTCTACTGTTAATTTCATAATATGTCTTAGTCCTTTCAAATTTCTTAATAACTTGCATCTTATATGTTGGCTCATATAGTATAAAACCTCTTGTTAAATTTTCCATTTTCTGAAGGAGGATTAGGTAAAATAATATTTGAGTTTGCTATGCTGTTTTTTTCCCTTGACTTCTTATTTTTATTCAGTAGTAAACAGGCCTTTGTAATCCTTAGTGTTTGCCTCAGTGCTATTAAATGGTAGCAGGTAATTGTCATCACTTTCTCTCTTGAATAGGTTTCTTCGTTTTGCAAAATGTTTTCAGACATTGTGTTCCCATAATACACTGAGACCTTTTTATCCCCAAGGATGTTGAAATGAATGTTGTCACTGTTGCTCATCTGTTTCATATTACATAATTACTACTTGAACCAGCTACTCTGTATTACTTAGGACTTAACAGAGAATAATCCCTCATCTTGTGTGCTCTGGAATTAGCTGTTCCAAGAGCATTTGTTTAAGAAATCACTTCTTTAAGCCTTGTTCCATTTAGCAGAACATGAGATACATTGTAAATATATTTACAACATGCTAGACAGTATGTCTTCTTATAAGTACGTGTTGTGAGACATTAAAACGCCACTTATTTGATTTTATTTAGAAAAGCAATGTACTTGTGTCACTGTACACTAATGAAACATAATTTGCAGTGATGAATCTGACATCACAGGAAAGACAGGAAACCCAGCTGGGCCAAAATCGGTAAACACCACGTTTCACTTGTAAAATACTTTACTGGAAGCGCATAAAATGGCCTATTTGGCTAAAAGCTCGTTTGTTTCCCACTATGACTAATAAAACATACCTTTCCTCGCCCGGGGAATAGGGCCCGGCCTCACGCATCCCGCCGGCCGGGGTCAGCACCGCGGACAGCGCCAGCCCGCGCCCCGCCCGGGGTGGGGGGGGGTCACGGCTCCGAGACGAGCTGGGGAAGGGCAGGAGACCTCCTGTCTGTGCATCTGCCAACAAAAAGAACGGAGAGGAGACCGGTGTCAGGGTCCTAGTGTACATGAACACAAGAATGTAACACCGAGGGAAGGGATGTCACAGGTCCTGGGGGTTCCTGAGGTGATGCCGGCCCGGTACCAGCCATTCTGGGTGGAGGCGTTGGGGCTGGTAGAGGCCAAAGGAACTATATGTGTCAGAGCTGAGTGGGAACGTGACAAAAGTATATATTTATATAGCGTAGAAGAAAGTAGAGACACCACAATTATGTACTTTTGTACATTTGTGTTTAAATACGCAATAAATGTGCCGTAGAGAGAAAATTAGTGTATTCTTACTTATGCCACAAAACTACTCCCACTTTCAAACGAGCTTTTACAACAGTAGAAGTCAAGTACGTATCAAATGCCTATGTCTGCTGATAATCAATCCAATTAACATTTAAAAGCTTGAAACAAGTTATTTCAGTCATCGTGTACATTCAATATTTTTCAAACCTCCTTTCTCATAAGCTTTGGCTTCTGAAGGGAACAGTCCTGGTAGCTGTAATCTCCTTTTTAGCCTCAATATATTTGTAAGTTGATGGAAATGCACAAAATCTTATGAGCAGTTCGATTAAATGTATTTTCCGATCTGCTTCCCTGCCTTGTCTCCATCTTGGGGACTCTGGGAAACTGTGGCTTCCCCAAGTTCCACAAGGTGCTCTGGCTGTTTAGGAAGCAAACAGAACAAAAAAAGCCTGCTTATGATTTTTGTGGGAGTAACACTTGTTTTACCTGTTGGTGATTTTTTTACTACTTTTTGTCCTGATTAGGGATAAAAGCCCTCTTCTTTCTTTCAGAAAATTTGAATTTTCCACAGAAAGGGGAAGTTTCCGTGGCTGTGTATTTGAGTCAAGTTTCAGGCTGCGTGAATCTCTTTGCAGCCTTCTCTCACGTGCCTTGCCTTGTTGCCAGTAAAGGTGTAGAGTTGAGTCCTGCATCTTGTCCTTGTCTCAGGAAAACACTTACAGCCAGAGCTCGAGAAAAATATAGTCTCTTGGTGATCTAGACCGTGAAAATACATTAATATCAAGCTAATTGACTTGAATGCTTAAATGCATGTTTTCACAAAAGAATTCTTCTTCGAAAACAGTGAAAGGAATAACGCGATCTTACGTTTACTCAAGAAAGATTTAAGAGGAAAAACTCCCACTAATTAAAATGTAAATAAAATAGCACAGAAAAATGTCTCCAACATGAAGTAACGAGTCAGCAGCAGATGTTTTGTGGAAGAAAATGTTAATATGATAATGAAAAATTAGAAGAGAAAGAGAAGTTAAATAAATGGAGATTTATAAACAAAACCTGACAAAATACATCCCCTTGGGAAGCCAAACCTGTACTGAGAGTAACAGGAAAATGATTGGGTTGATTTTCAGTTGTCAAACCAGGAGCTTTCAGAGCAAGCATTCAAGTTTATAGGGCAAAGCTGTTTGCGTGATCACGTAATGTCCGTTGATTTAGCCAGCTGGGACCTGTGAGGCTGGAAAACAGTAACTTTCCCGTGTGAAACGCCTTGAGACCCAAGGATGAAAGGTTGTGTGGTGGGGAAATTAAGGCACGGATGGGGAAGTGACTCTCGTGCCGCCCCTGAGGCAAGCGGTGGGGTTAAAGCGTTAAACCCGAGCCGTTGAGAACCGCCGTTGACACCTTCTTGTGGGATGACAGGGCTTTCCACACAGGGCTGAGGAGGGGACTCCCCCAGCCCCGGCGGTGTCCGGGAGTCGACGGAAAGGCGAGGAACCGGCGTATTCCCCGAAGGGGCAGTAAAAATATAAAATTACGCTGGGTGGGATGGGGGGGAGAAGACACAGAAAAAAGCCCTCTCCCTCAAAAAAAGAACCCCGAGAAGGCGCGACGGCGAAGCCCGCTCCCTCCCGCCCCTTCCTCGCGCCGCCATCTCCTCACCGCTGCGCGCGCCCTTCCCGCCGCGCGAGGCCCGCCCGGCCGCCTGACGGCGCTGCCCTCCGCGCAGGCGCAACCCGGGGCGCGGCGCGGGCAGGGAAAGCGGCGGGGCTGGCGTTGG